GAGGGGAGAGATGTTGGTCTGGCAGCTAACTGACTGATTTTAACCTTCTGCCCTCACCTTCCACTGAGCAGCTATCATCCCTGAACAGAGAAAATGTAAAGGTTGGCTGGCAGGCCAGTTTGGAAGCTGGACTGTAATGAATGGAATCACTTCCTGGCACTAAATGAAAACATACATTCTTGGTATTTTTGAGATGTATTCCACAAGGAAAGTGGGGCCTGAAGATGTATTCTGGTCCTGGCCCCACAATAAAAAAAACCTTAAATCAATTTTACTGGTTCCAGATCCACTTCTAGCTGCCTTCATCTGAGAGGAACCCTACAGTGGCCAAATAGATCATTGGAACCCAGCTAATTATTCAGAGGAGGACCACGCTAATTTCATGTGCACTGCCTGCTCTGAAGATCAGGATAAGATGAAACACAATAGGATTGAGGCAGAACATCAGCTAGTGATCTGGTCAATTTTAGAAGCAGTTAATTAGCGTGGATTAGAATTGTGCATAGCATAGATTCAGTGAGAACTTCACTCTGTATATTCTGAATCATTCCTTAGCTACTGAATTATTTCTTGGCAATCATACTCTGAGATTATCCCAATATATATAGTTCATTAGCAGAGGACAAGCTCAGTTCAAACAGGAATCAAGTCTGTTCTATTTCTGGTAGACTTAACAGTGTTTTCTGGATTATGAAATAAGATTAAACATTTAGGAAGCTGGTTGAAATCTCAAAAGTATGAATTTGTCTCCATCCATGTCATGGACTAATCCATAAGAAACAGAAAGAACAGACTAATTTCTAATATAAGGGAAGTTTAATGCCAAGATCCATTATCTAACAGCTTCTTAACTGAGATTTAATGCACATTACTTTAGGAAGTGAATATGAAGTACACTGTTTTTGGAAAATTAATACTTACCAACATAGAAATGTACAGTTTTATATTGCTGAGGCTCGGTACGTATGTTAATGTCAAACGCCTTGTCTAAATTTGTCTTCGTTTTTTTCCATTAATGTAATGTAGTTACTTGCTCTCCTGATTTCCCTTTAATGTATTAGTCAAATAACAATTATTTCAGAAAAAGGATGTATTAACTGAAGAATGAATGTAGGTTAGTGGAGTTACAAGTAGTGCAGAAACTGAGCAGTATCAGTAAGGAAGGCATCAGGTGGATGGCTGAAAGACAGACCAATATCATTGTTGCTTTTGAGGGGCAAAATTGTTCAGACAATGAGTCATTGGTAGATGGCAATGCTAGCCTGTATTATTATGAACCCAACTGTCTACGTTAAACAGAACATTAGACACTGATGTTTTTTAAAGACAGCTATAAAACATTACCAGCTTAGCAACAGACAATGTGTCATAATAAAAGGCCCAGAAACATGATAGTAATAAGACTCACTGTGGCAATTCACTACTTGTGATCATAATAATGAAAGCTCTCCCCACCCACCAGAATCCAACAAGGAATACACCACTTACATTAATATGATTTGTTGCCGTTACATTGACGGTGCTGGGTCAATATCAATGCTGGATTTCATAACACCATTCTCAAAGCAGAAACCAGACAAGGACTTACTTTCATTAAAATGAATCATTTTCAACATCTTCAGGGAATTATAGAAAATAATTTAAAAGATTTGTGGAATTCTGGCCTAAGTGACCAGAGGAAATAGAGTCCAAGGTGGTAGATGTCATGCTTCAGCTCCATAAATTCTTGGTTACACCACACCTGGAGTGTTGTAAGCAGTTCTCAATGCCACATGTTTGAAAGCATATATTGGCTTTGGAGGAGTGCAGCATAGGTTACTAGAACAGGTTTCAAACATGAAATAAGATTGTGTCCTTGGTGAAGGCATGATTTCACAGAATCACAGAATTGTCACAATGTATAAAGAGGTTGCTCAGTCTATTGTGTCTACATTGACTCTCTGAATGAACATTATGACTTTGTGCTATTCTCTTGCCTTTTCCCCACAACCTTGAATATTGTTTCCATTTAAATAATCATCTAATGCCCTCTTATTAAATCTGCCTCCACCAATCCTCTGGGTAGTGCATTTCAGACCCTAACTAGCTACAATTGAAATTTCCTCTTAGCCTTCTCTTCTCCACAGAAAACAGTCCCAAATTCTCTAATCTATATTTACAAATGGAAGTTTTCACCTACGGAGCCACTCTTGTAAATCACCTGTGCACTGTCTCCAAAATGTTCACATCCTCCATAAAGTGTGGCCCCCAGAACTGTACACATTACTGCAGCAGAGAAACTAAGCATCACCTCCTTGCTACTATACTCTATGCCTCTATTTCAAAGCCTGGGATAATACACGTTTTATCAACTAGTTGCCCTACTTATCATGTCTCCTTTAGTGATTTATGTGCATATATTACAACTGCTTTCCCCGTTTTCTTCTTTCTTCCTTCTTTCTTGTACATCTGAGCCACCCATCATGCCAGAGTCTTGACTTTTGTCACACTCCTCTGAAGAACCATTGCTTTCATCAGTACACAGAATGGAAAATCAACTAGTGAGCGGAATCTCATGGGACCACTGCACTATATACCTGGCTGTCTTTGTTGGCCTGGGAGCTATCCATTCCCTATCTGCCTGTAAGCCCCTACCCTGCAGTTGGACCTCTTGCCTAAATGTGCTACGTGTGTTGTTCTGTACCTCATGGATGCTGCACAGTCACTCCAGCCACCAATCGAGCTACAAACCCAAGGCTCAAGCTTGTGCATCTAGTGAGTCTTCCTGTATATGTGCCTGTCTAAGTTGCATCAAGGGTCGTTGATTCTCATCTGGCAAAGGATGAGCATTCCTCTTGGTCGAAATGGCCTGCCATACCTTAATCTTATTTCTGTGCTATTTCCTAAGCACTTATTTTTTGTTTGTATTGGATTGTTTTAAAAAGCTTATTATTTTCAAAATTTCCTGACACTGAGACACAATCTCCAACAGTAACTGCTCATAAAGCAACCCCTCCTCCCTCCCTTAACTGAACTCAACTCTTAGCAAGCTTAAATCTTATCATAAATCTTACTTAAAACACGTCTTTTCCCGACACACCACAACATCACAGAATTGTTATGGTGCAGAAGGAGGCTATTTGGCCCATCTTATCTGTGCTGTCTCTTTAAACAAGTATCATATCTATTGCCAATCTCCTGCTTCTTTCCCATACCTGTGCACACTATTTCTATCAAATAACCATCCAAGTTGGAACCAAATTCTACTTTGAATCACTTCCCAAGTATTCACTCTGTCTTATCTCAATCCAATGTGTTCAGACCATGAGCTGCTCATTAACCAACTTTGCAAGTCATAGAGTCATGCAGCATGGAAACAGACCCTTCAGTCCAACCTGTCCATGCTGAACATAATCCCAACTAAAAACAGTCCCACCTGCCTACTCCTGGCTCATATCCATCGAAAGCTTTCTTATTCACATACTTATTCAAATGCCTTTGAAATGTTGTAATTGTGCCCACGTGCACCAGTTCCTCAGGAAGTTCATTCCACTCGCAAACCACCCTTTGTGTAAATAAAATGCTCATAATGTCTTTTATAAATCCCTTTCTTCTCACCTTAAAAATGACCCCTTTGTCTTGAAATTCCCCCTCTGTAGGGTAAAAACAACTACTATTTACCCTATCTATACCCCTCATGATTGTATAAACTTCTGTAAGGTCACCTCTTAACCTCCTGTGCTCCAGTGAGAAAAGTCCCAGCCTATTCAGCCTTTCTTTATAACTCAAACCTTCCATACCCGGCAATTTCTGGTAAAAAAAACAGAAGTTGCTGGAAAAGCTCAGCAGGTCTGGCAGCATCTGTGAAGAAAAAAGATCAGAGTTAATGTTTCGGGTCCAGTGACACTAACCAGTTCTGAGGAAGGGTCACCAGATCTGAAACGTTAACTTTGATTTTTTCTTCACAGATGCTGCCAGACCTGCTGAGTTTTTCCAGCAATTTTTGTTTTCATTCTTGATTTACAGCATCTGCAGTTCTTTCGGTTTTTAACATTCTGGTAAATCTCTTCTGAACCCTCTCCAACTTAATAATATCCTTCCTATAACTGGTCGACCTGAACTGGACACAGTACTCTAAAGAGTAATGTCCTGTACAACCTCGACATGACTTCCCAACTTCTATACTCAAAGGACTGAGCAATGAAGGCAAGTGTGCTAAATGTGTTCTTAACCACCTGGTCTATACATGATGCAAACTTCAAAGAACTATATACCTAAACATCAAAACCAACAAATAAAGTAGATACAAATAAACAATTTTTGCTTCTTCATAAGCCTAGGACTAGGGACTGTAGTTTAAAAGTTGGGATCAGAGCTGTGGGGAGTGAATAAAACCAAAATGCATTGGAAATCTGAAATAAAAGCAGAAAATGCTGGAACTACTCAACATGTCTTCAACTTCTGAAGAAAGGTCACTGAACTGAAATGTTGGCCCCATTTCTCTGCCCAAAGATGTTGCAACATTTCCAGTGTTTTCTGTTCTTCTTTCAGTTACGAGAGAAATAATGAAACAGTTCTATACATAAATGGTGGTAAAAATTTGGAATTCTCTTCCACAACTGGCAATTGATGCTAAACAAATTGTTTGTTTTCAATCTGAAATTGATGGAATTTGTTCAACAAAGGGTATTAAGCAAAATGGGACAAGGTTATTTTTCAAGTGAGCTGTGATCTCATTGAACTACAGTATACACCTGAGTGCTAAATGGTCAATACATGTTCCTATGCTCCACATGAACCCAGCTTGGTGAGGGTTGATCTGGTGTGATTGTTTTCAGCAATGGGATTTCATATTCAACAAACCTATTTGATTTCCCTTTTTCTGTTCTGTAAATAGAAGTGGATATTTTTCCTCAAAAATTACCTGTACACCTGACTAATTCAGAAAAATCCCTATCCTACCACCAGTAACAGTACAAAGATTTTTATAAAATTTTGCATGACTTTATTGCTGCTATAAAACCAATTGATAGAACATTACATTCAATATGTAAATGGACATGTCAAGTTATAGAATTGAATTAAACTAGCAGTCTCATTTACTAAATTTTACAATATCATACAAAAAGATGGTTATATTACAATGGAGTGTTCTTTCATGTTGACACTGAATTATGTTGTAAGTCGTAAGTTTTACAATACTATCCTTTGGGCTTGGCACTAAGTATAAACACTAAAAAGTTTACTCTTTATACTTTTTTCTGAAGTCTTCTTGAACTTGGAACTACTATAATGGATCCAAAATTAAAGGTGGATCACATAACATTAATGGCTCCTAGTTAAAAGGGAAGTTAAACATAGACTGCATATTTAAGAGTACATGGTCAATTTGTTTTTCTTCTGCAGTGGCAACAATTTACGCCCAGAATACTTTGTTTTTGGTTTGGATACATAAACTGAAATAAAATAGATATGTATCATATAAAATCATGTTTTGCAATTCTTGGTCTTCGATTGTCCTTTTCAAAAGAATTACACCAAAGAATGCAGATACTGTATAAAGTTCAACATATTTCATGTCAAACATTTTTAATTATAGTATCTATAACTTGGTTTTCCTACAGCAAAGATAAATCATAATTAGCAGTCCAGCGGTTGATGAAAGAGAGTAGGGGACTTCTTAACCAAGTAAGTTCAAGTTCCAACATCAATTGTTATTGGGTTAATTTTCATGGGTTTGTGGTTGGACTCTGATGCAGAATATATTTTGGTCACAGAGAATATACTTTCGTCAGGGTTAGGAGGAAGACACCTTTTTTTTGCTTAGCAGAACCAGTTCTGTCCCATTGAACTATACCACATCGGACCTTAGCACAAAGTCAAGTACACAGTCCAATCTAAACCTTTTCTACACTGAAAGCTTATGGTAGTAAGTGGCTTCAAGAAAAGTGGAAGGGTAATTTTATGGGAGGTAAGGGAGAATGAGAGGAACCAGTTGTGAAAATTGGAGGTTGGCAATACTTGACTATTGCTGAAAAGATAATAACTTGCTGAAACATTGGGTCGTATGCTCCTTAGGACAAGCACAAGAATGCCAAATTTCAAACAATTACAACAATTAATCCTACCAGAGAAAACAGTGCTAATTAATTGGTGGATGAACACTGATTTACCGAGATATTGTCAAGGAGAAAAGTGAAATTACTTTAGTTTTAATGGCAGCAAAAGAAACAAAACTACCAAGAGGAGTGACAGAGCTATCAGTGAATGCAATGATCTACTGTAAAATGACTCAAATGCTTGTCCTTCTATATTCTCCTTGTGCCTTGTTTGAAACATGCAGGAGCTTGGGAAGAAAATACTGCCCACCATAGCCAATCAGAGTCAACAAAAGTCAGTCAATCAGCATCTCTTTCTCTGTTGTAATCATTTGAAATTTGTATTTTTGTGTTTATTCTGATGAGTGCAAATGAAAAGCTTGAGCAAGTTACTCTCTTTGCAGCAGCATTCAAATTCTGTACTCCCACATGATTGTTTATGGCATTACTCTTGTGGTTTAGGATGCAAACTCCAGTATCATAGTTGCCATCATGAAATAATAGCATTAAGGTCTTAAGATTATATTCATGTTAAATAAATATTAAGCAAAAGCATACATGGACTTTATATGAACAGAAAGACAAAATTATACAATTTAAATACACCAACACTAGTTAAATACTTGTACTGCCGTCTACATCATGTAAACACCATCCGACACATAATACAAAGCAGCGTATACTTTAGCCATGTGCTCACAACACTGACAGCCTGTATGCTCTTGACCAAAGCTGTTAATTGATACCAAACAGAAACAATTACAATCTGATGAAGGTAGCTTCAGGAGGGCTCGCATGGAATCCTTTTATGGAAAATAACAGCTTGTTTTGGTTGATACTGTTGCCTGCGTTTTTTTCTTTTTTCGAAGTGACAGAGCAGTAACATTTTAAAAGTGTTTCTGAAGGTTTTGTTGCACAGTGCATAGCACATGGGATTCACAGTGCTATTGACGTAGCACAGCCAATAACCTAGTTGCCACAGTGAATCACGAATGCATTTGTCACAAAATGTGTTCACCAGTACCATTATGTTGTAAGGTGTCCACGTGATAATAAACGCAAGCAAAATTGCACTGAGTGTCTGTGCAGCCTTCTTTTCTTTTACAAGTGACATTCTTTTACGCTTTGTAATCTGAGTTCTTGCTTTGGAAGCAAATGCTTTCGCAACTGTGGTTTCTCTGAGAGACATAGAAGTGGATGATTTTGCTAGAGATGCAATTCCTCCAGAGGTCTTTGAGGGATGGATTGATGGCAGTGACTGAACAGGAAGCTTGGCAAAATGCTGGTGAAAGCTGTTGCCTTGCTCATCTGGGTCCTTGAACTCTTGCGATCTGAACTTCCTTTCCTTTACACTATTATCTGCCTTGGCAAGTTCATCACTGCAAAGGTCGATGTTATTGGCATTTGTGGATCTCGAGAGGCTAGCAGCCGTCTTAAGTCCAGGTAGGTTTAACACAATGGAGTAAATTGCTCTCGTTTCTGATACTACATCGTCCTCGTCAGATGAAGCAGAGTGGTCTAAAGAGCCACCGCCATCATTGTTATTCCAACTATCACTGCTGCTTCCCTCTTGCTCTCCCTCAGTGCTAGACTTCCACGTCTTTGAGTTTGCCCAAAAGCGGCACCTCCTGAGCCTCCTTTGCTCTTTCATTCCTGCCTGCTGCAGTTCATTGCTGCTGCAGCTCCTGGAGCTGCCTGTTTGATGAACAAAATGGATGGTTTCCATGTCAGTGGTTGAGGCCTGGAGAGCTGCCAGTTCTTTGGTGCGTTTTTCAGTTTCCTTGTATATTCTCCAATACAGGATTGTCATGATGGTGACAGGCAAGTAAAATGCAGCAATGGCAGTACCAAAAGTAATTATTGGTTCAGATAAAAACTGTATGAAACATTCATTGGGTGGCACAGTTCTCTCACCAACAAAGTATTGCCAGAACAAAATAGCAGGGGCCCAGAGTACAAATGAGACAATCCAAGCGAGCCCAATCATTATCCCAGCTCTTTTGGGAGTTCGTTTAGCTCTGTAGGTAAGTGGTCTTGTAATTGATAAGTATCTGTCAAAGCTTATAACTAGAAGATTCATGACAGAGGCATTGCTGGCAACATAATCAATAGCAAGCCAAAGGTCACAAGCTACATTACCTAAAGCCCATCTATCCATTATGATGTATGTTGTGTATAGGTTCATCGAAATCACTCCAATGATCACATCTGCAAAGGCGAGACTTAGAAGAAAGTAGTTATTCACCGTTTTTAATTGTTTGTTCACCTTGAATGCGACTATAACCAGAATGTTTCCAATTATTGTCACCAAGGAAAGTATTCCTGTAAAGAAGGCGATCAAAACAACTTGCCAAACAGTGTGACCTCCAAGAGGGTCAGTTGTACTATTACTTAGGAGAGACCCATTTGCTCCCAGCGAGGTTGTAGGAGAGAGTACAGCTGATCTGAACAAGCCATTGGCACTTCGGTCTACTGGTCTGCTGCCGAGAACCACTTGAGTCTGTGAATCATGGTTCCACGAGAAGCTGGAATTGAAGAAGAACGGGGAAGCTGTGCTGTTGTAGTCAGGGATCATTGTGGCTTTCTGGCATATTCTGCAAAAGAAACAGAAGAAGAAAGCAGAATAAAGATTGGCTCTATTCAAAGATTAAAAATAGCAAAGCCTCATCTGTGAGCATCTGTGCTGAAATGTCTGCTATATATTGCCATGTACAATTGTTTAGTACAACCCTCTGTCACACTTCCAGTGTCACCTTCACATTTCTGTTTATACCACAACAACCAAATACATACAAGTATGGGACACCTCCAAGAACATCATGGAGGAAAAAATTCGCTTATGCATGCAGGTTTTGACAGCATGACACCAACTCATGTTCATTCCCCAGGTAATGCCAGAGGCCACTTTCTATGTAGATTGCAGGGAGTATCTTCGTTGATATCATTGAAGAATGTGGCTTTAGTTGTGCAAGCCATAGTGTATGTCCCTGCCTCTCCCAGTGGATCTACATAGATCTGTGTAACATTGCAAGAAGTGGTGCTACATGAACAAAGTTCTCCCCTAAAATAACAGGGGGAGAATATTGGCATTCCTTTAATTCTGATAGAGACATGATGGGCCAAATGGCCTCCTTCTATACTGTAAAATTCTGTGATTCTACAATTGTATGAATCCAGCGTTTATACAAAATTAAGTTTGGGGGTTAATAAATTGGCAATTAATTTAGCAGCCACACACCAATACTTTATAAGAATGAAACATTGGACAAGAATTTAAGCGATAGTCCAGCTTTCCTACCGTATGTTTGCTGCAATTAAACAAGGTTTTTGCACAACATGCTGGCGTACTTAAATTTAATTATTCATCACGCATGAATGGGATGTATCCGAGGATGTTAGTGGAAACAACGGAAAAAGGGAGGAGGTAAAGGCTTCTTTCAAAGATATCTTTTAATTTTCTTTAGAAACTGGAATAGTGCCAGAGGAATATTAATAAAATTGGAAATGTTACACTCTTGTTCTAAAAAGGGTATAAGAATAAGTCAGCCCAGTCAGTTTAATCCAGGACAAAATTAACAATTGGATAAGTGAGGATCAGGTAATGAAAACTAGTATGGATTTGTGAAAGGTAAATCATGTTTAGCTAATTTGCTTAAGTTTTTATTTCATGAGATTACAGTGAAGGTTGATCAGAGAATGCAGTTGAAGTGATATACATAGACTTTCAAAAGGTCTTCTTTGACATAACACAACATAAAAGGCTTCACAGGCAAGTTAAAGCACATGGAATAAAGACGACAGTGACAGCAGGGATTGGAAGGTGGTTGAGTGATGGGAAACAGGGTGGTAGTTGTGAATACAGCAGGCCAAGCAGCATCAGCTTGGCCTGCTGTGTTCATCCAGCTCTACACCTTGTTATCTCAGATTCTCCAGCATCAGCAGTTCCTACTATCTCTGGTAGTTGTGAATAGTTGTCTCTCTGACTGGAGAAAGGTACATGGTGGAGTTCCACGTGGTACTGAAACTATTGCTTTTCTTGAGATGTATTATTGACCTAGACTTGGGTGTACAGGGTACAATGTCAAAAGTTGCAAATGACACAAAACTTGGAAGTATTGTGAACTGTGACAATAGAGATAGACTTCAAGCAGAATAGGAAGGCTGGATGAATGGGCAGACACATGCAAATGAAAGTTAACGTGAAGAAGTGTGAAGAGCCATACAGCACGGAAACAGACGCTTTGGTGCAACCAGTTCATGCCGAACATAATCCCAAACTAAACTAGAAAAACTAAACTCAAAGGGAGGTGACGGTCTAGTGGTATGGTTGCTGGACTGTTAGTCCAGAGATCCAGGTAATGTTTTAGAGACCAGGGTTCAAATCCTGGCAGGTTGTGGAATTTGAATTCAATGTTAAAAAATCTGGAATTAAGAGTCTAAGGGTGACAATGTCATTTGTCAGGAAAAACCATCTGGTTCATTGATATCCTTTAGGGAAGGAAACTGCCATCCTTACCTGGTCTGGCCTACGTGTGATTCCAGACCCACAGCAATGTGGTTGTCTCTTACCTGCCCTGTGGGCAATAAATGCTGGCCTGGCCAGTGATGCCCTCATCCCATGAATGAATTTAAAAAAAGTCCCACCTGCCTGCTCCTGGCCCATATCCTTCCAAACACTTTTTATTATGTACTCATCCAAATGTCTTTTAAACGTCGTAACTGTACCCACATCCACCACTTCATCAGGAAGTTCATTCCACAAGCAAATCACCCTCTGTGTAAAACATTTGCCTCTTATGTCTTTTATAAATCTCTCTCCTCTCACCATAAAAGTGTGCTCCCTGGTGTTGAAATCCCCCATCCAAGGGAAAAGACAACGACCACTAACTCTATCTATACTCCTCATTATTTTATAACCTTCCATAAGGTCTCCTCTCAACTTCCTACATTCCAGAGAAAAAAGCCCCAGCCTATCCAGCCTTTCTTTATGGCTCAAACCTCCCATACCTGGCAACATCCTAGTAAATGTCTTCTGAACCCACTCCAACTTAATAATATCCTTCCTATAACTGGACACAATACTCCAGAAGAGGCCTCACCAATGTCCTATACAAGCTCAACATGACTTCCCAACTCCTCTGCTCAGAGGACTGGGCAATGAAGGCAAGTGTTGCCAAACGCCTTTTTAACCACCCTGTCTATACATGATGCAACTTCAAAGAATTATGTACCTGAACCCCGGGTCACTTTGTTCTCCCGTTGTTAGGAAGATTAATTAAAGAAAATCGAAAGTAAATGCAACAATTCTAAAAGAGGTACAGCAATAGAGTGACTTGTGGTTCAATGTGTATAAGTCGTTGAAGATTATAGGGGTTGAGCAAATGGTCAAAAAGGCATACGGGATCCAGGGTTTATAAACAGAGGCATAGTATAATAAAAACAAGGGAGTTACCAACATTTATAAAACATTGCTTTGACCTCAGTTGGAGTGTTATGTCCAATTCTGAGAGCTGAACTTTAGAAACGTATAAAAACATTGAGGAAGAGTAGAGAAAAGATTTATGAGAGTGGTTCTAAGATTGAGATATGCAGTTATGCGGATAGAGTAGAGCAGCTGGATTCTGCTCCTTAGGGACAAAAAGATTCAGAGGACTAAAAACAAAATGCTCTGGATGCTGTAAATCTGAAACAAACACAAAGAATGCTGAATAAACTCAGCAGATCTGGAGCAAGAAACAGAGTTAACATTGCGAGCTCGATATGACTCTTCTTCCTATTGTGGACCAGACCAGACCCCCTCAAAATATTTTAAGAAGGTAGCTTAGACTTTAACTTTTTCTTATTTTAAAGGTAGATGTAAAGTGCTGTGTTCCAGATACAATGCGACTGGTCAATCTAAATGACGTTAAGCAAAATGCCATTTATTTGGCACTATAGTTAAAATACAACAGAAGAAAGAACTTAGAACAACTTAACTCTATTGGAAAACTTAACAGAATAATAGATACAGTAACTATTGCTAATTAACTGTTCCAACATAGTAACATCCCATAAACATTCCCCTTTAGAAAAAAGGCAAATTCAGAAATCAGATTTTCTCACATGTAACACCCGTAGTAGGAAGCAAAACCTCAGCCTCTAGCTATAACCAAGAAAGTAGAAAATATAGCTTCTATTTCTTCAAGACTGCAGAAACTTTTGCTGAACCTAAAAGCTGAAACAAAAACACTGGAAATCCTAGGCTGTGAGAGCTGGCCACACCAGCTGGGCTGCTTCCATTGTCGCAACTTTAAAAAAAACTTAAGGCCTCACAAGCTGTTAATGTTACCACAGACAGCGAGAGACCTCTCGTTCAATCTTTCTCTTAAAAGAAATTAGGACAAAATACACCTCTTAAAGCCACAGGATTGTCATACTCCAAACTGAAGAAGTCAGAACTCAGAAGAACAGAACTCAGTTCTGAGGGAGAGTTATACTGAACTGAATAAGTTAACTCTATTTCTCTCTCCACAGATGCTGACAGATCTTCTGAGTTTTTCCAGCATTCTTTGTGTTTGTTCAAGGTTAAGCGGAGGTGATCAAGGTCTTGAGGGGTCTAGATGGAATAGATAGAGAAACTGACCCCATTAATGGAAAGCTAGAAACAAGGAGGCACTGTTAATAAAGTGATTGGTAAAGGATCCAAGGACCACATGAGGAATAGTTTTCTCAGACAATGAGTGATTATGATCTTGAACATGCTACCTTGATGTTTGGTGGAGCTAAATCCAATCCTGGCCTTCCAACCAGAATCAGATAATTGGAATTGAAGAAAATGAGAAGGACTTTGGGCAAATCCGTGGAACTGGCATGGATATGATGAGCTGAGTGGCTTTCTTTTGTGTTGTAGCCATGTTATGGTTCTATAAAAATTTCTAGGCAGTACGATGGAGCAGTGGACTAGACACTCCAACAGCATTTGGATATCACTGTCTGGGGAATTGTGTCTTACTGCGTGCAGAGCAGCTTGAAGCTCCATGTCACTGCAGCACCGCAATGCTCCAAACAGCTTACAAAATTATCCTAAACCCCAGCAAGCATCCCCCACAAAATAAATGAGGGAACTAAAAGGACTGATGAGACTAAGTGCAATTCTCACAAGAATCATTTCACAATAACTGAACAGTATGAACCGATTTATAGCTAATGCACGTAAACAAAGTTGGGGTCTTACTAGCGCTTGACACATGAGATTTCATTTCACAGTATACACATTCCCATTGATGGCAGCCTTTTATACTGTCCTGCAGGCAGTCTGCCAACTTATGCTTGAAGTAGTACTTGAAGTCCATATCATGGAACATGCAACAATCTCCTATTATGGTAGCTCCCCACAGAATGTAACAATCAGGTTGATACAGGCTTCAGGAAAACTCTTAAGCATGTTGTGAAAGGGTAGACAATAGGATTCAATAATTTACAGGTTTCTAGATTGCTGATCAAATAGGAACCCACAATTTATTTGACTGTGGCCTTCTGAGTTTATTTTTCCCACATCAATTTATTTGATCGTAAATTTTAGTTTCTCATTGTCCGACATTTGTATTTGCTTGAT